ATATATATACACACACATACATACATACATATATACAGGAATTAACTCTATTGCAAGTTTATAAAATTATACGCCATCAGGGGCCAGGCGGGGAATATCAATAGGAAGACCCAAATCGTATTGCTGCTGTAATGGGAAAACACGTACTCCAGCTGACTAGTGCTCTAGGCAATGTCAGCCCAGTGTTGGCAGTACTTCTGATATTTTAAAAGAAATGAAAATTTGATGAATTTGTATGTAAATTTTACCAATTTTAAATGATGGTAATTAATTACGAAAAACTCTTTTAAATATTGGGTTAAACAAACAAAATAGTCCTGGTGCTAAATCTGGCCCAAGAACAATTCTTTCTGCTCCAGTCCCACCAACAAGGACTGTGAAACTTTGGCTTTCCTGAGTTAGCCCCCGGTCCAAACTGTTTTAGTCCATTTGTGCTGCTTTAACAGCATGGAGGATACCTGAGACTGGGTAGCTTATAAGCAACAGAAATTTATTTCTCACATTCTGGTGGCTGGGCAGTCCAAGATCAATGCACTGGCTGGTTCTGTGTCTGCTACAGGTTTGCTTCGGGTTCATAGATAGTACCTCTTGCTCACTGGTAGAAGGGACAACTGAGTTCCCTTGAGTTTCTCTTTTCTTCTCCTTCCACATCAGAAGGGTAGTGTGCCAATGTTGTAACAAGTTTTGAGGGAGGCATATCTCATAGAATAGTAATGAAAACCCAATATCATGCTAATGAATTGCAAAAGGTTCTCTCTTTTATAAGGGCACTAATCCCATTTATAAAGGCTTTGCCCTCATGACCTAATGACCTTCTAAAGGCCCCACCTCCTAATACCATCACATTGAGAGTTGGGTGGGGAACACAAACATTTAGACTACAGCAGGAGGCAAGCATGTTGATGGAACAGAGGCTGGGTGAGACGCAAGGGGTCATAGTGATCAGACAAGGCCTCTCTGCAGAAGTGGTTCATTCCTGAATGTTGAGAAGGGGGAAGCCACGTGAAGATCTTGGGGAAAATATATAAGCAAAAGGAAGAGCAAACCAGGGGTCCTAGGATGAGGAAGAGCTTGGCAAGTTCTGGGGACTGAAGAGTAGCCAGTGTGACTGTAGTACAGGGAATAAAAGGCAGGCGGTGAAAGGGGCCAGATGACCTTCCACCATGTAGGCTATGCTGTGGAGCTTATATTTTATTCCAGTTATGACCAGAAAGCCACTGGATGATCATGTAGGTCAATGTCAGTGTCTGGCTTGCCTCTCAAATCTCACACTAGCTGCTGTGATGACTGTGCATCATAAGGGTTCAGAAGCAGACACAAGAAGACCAGATAAAAGACGAATGCAGCAGACCAGGAAAGACCAGTGTGGTTTGGCTAGAGCTGTAGTCGTGAGTATAATGAGAAGTCACTGGGGCTGGGTGGGCACGGTGGCTCATGCCTCTAATACCAGCACTTTGGGACACCGAGGCAGGAAGCTTGCTTGAGCTTGGGAGTTTGAGACCAACTTGGAGAGAGAGATGGGGAGAGAAATCACTGGACAGGGAATGTATTTTGGAGTTTGAATTGCTTGGTAGCCATTCAGATGGAGATTGCCAGTGATATGGAAGCCTGAAGGTAAGGAGAGGTCATAACACAGGTACAAATGTAGGGGTCATTGGCACAGAGATGCCGTTTAAACACAGGGGACCAGCTGAAGCACAAGATGAGAGAGGCAGAAACAGAGGGCAGGCAGCAGGGATATTAAGCCATTAAGCAACGGAAGAAATACCTAAAAAGAAGGCTCAGTATAAAAGCCCACGATGTGGAAGGAAAACCACTTATCAAGAATAGCGTCAACAGAGGACAAGAGAAGAAAGTGTTTCAAGAGGAGTGATCATACAGGCAAAGCATGTTGGGATGTCACCTATGTGGAGAGAAGAGAAATGACCACTGCCTTCTCAAGGTCTCAATTCTTGAAGACCTGGATCAGGGTGGAGGCTTGTGCAGAGGTGGGACCAAAAGCCTAGAAAGAAGTGGAGCGGAAAATTGGAAGTAAGGAAAATAGAAACATAGACAACAATTGCACAGATCTCCTTGTGCAGATAAATGGGGTAGGTAATGGAGAAAGATGTGGACTAAAGGAAGCATTGTTTATAACATTTTATTCTGGAAAATTATAAACCTACATGAAACTAGAACAACTGATACATGAACCCATCTGTACCTAACACTCAGGTACAGGAGTTAATTCATAACCAGTCTTTGTCCATCTATATACCTGATGGGTTCTCTTAAAGTAAGAGAGAGAGTTTGGCTCTTTTCCAGATGAGTAATTTGAAGGCATGTTTTTGTTCTGGTGAGCATGTTCTGATAGAGGAGAGGAAGCCACTCCTGAAGGAGAGGAGGTAGATTGTTACAGGAGGAAAACACAGGGGGTGGTGAGAGGGATCTCTCTTTTCTTCTCCTTTCATATCAGAAGGGTAATGTGCCAATGTTGTAACAAGTTTTGAGGGAGGCACATCTCATAGAATAGGGTGAAAACATGAGCCCAGATTAAGGCATCAGCCTCAGATAGAAGCAGACGTAGAGTCAGTCTATTAGTCAGTCAGTGATGAACTAGTGAGTCCATTAATGAGTCAGTCCAGTCCATTAGTTAGTTAGCTAATTGTTAGGACACTTGTTAAACAAGGAAAGCAGAATCTGTGACTTCAGACCCAAGCAAGTGGTGAAGCTCAGGGTGAGGAGATGAGGTGGTTCCTGTTACCTGTATCTGTTTCTCCATGAGGTACAAGTGGAGCTCATCAACTGAGAGGAGAAGACAGTTATTGAGAGTTGAGAGTGGTGAGGAGTGGAATGTCATCTGTATTAGTCCATTTTCACGCTGCTGATAAAGACATACTCCAGACTGGGCAACTTATAAAAGAATTTATTGGACTTACAGTACCATGTGGCTGGGAAGGTCTCACAATCATGGTGGAAGGTGAAAGGCATTTCTCACATGGTGGAAGACAAGAGAAGAGAGCTTGTGCAGGGAAACTCGTTTTTAAAACCATCAGATCTCCTGACACTCATTCACTATCACAAGAACAGCACAGGAAAGACCCACCCCCGTAATTCAATCACTTCCTACCAGGTTCCTCCCATGACACATGGGAGTTATAATTCAAGATGAGATTTGGGTGGGAACACTGTATCATCATCTCTAGAGAGATGTAGCCAAACTGTATCATCATCTCTAGGGAGAGGAAAATTAAATGAACTGGAAAAGTGCAGGCATCTGTGTGTATGCCTTTGAAGGAAGTCCAGGTAGCATGTATCCGTGACTTTCTCAGGCACCTCACCACCAGCCTGGCAGACCCAGAGGAGGAAGAGTGGGGCCCCGGAGGCCTAGGGATTTGCCAAACCATAGTGATGGAGGGAGAGAAGAGCCAGGGAGGCTCACAGTGCTCCACCTTTCCAGCTGGCTGGGGGAAAAGGGGGCTGAGTGGATGGGCAGGAATGCTGTTGAGAAAGAAGTAAGCTCAAAGCAGGGGAGGTACCTGTGGACCAAAGGAGGTTGGATACTGCAGTGTTAGAAGGGATAAGTTGAAATGGTAAAAGTCAGTGGCCAGAGAGAGAAGGATGCTTGAAATGGAGCTCTCAGGAGCAGTCAGCGCACTTTAATGTTGACTGCAAATCCAGGGGGTGGGGACAGGGGTGTAGAGGCCATTGACAAGGATATTGACACTGCCAAGGATGGCGACATCAGGAATGAAGGGAAAGGCAATGATCCAAGCATCACCATTAGGACCAAAGAGTAAAAATTGGTGAAGATACTATGTGTTTAAAGGATGAGGGTGTGGAAATGTTTTGGAAGTGACAATGTACAGTAAGGAAGATGCTCTCCCAGCACCGCCAGGACATTGCCACTTCAATCCCTCACCAGTGTGGAGGTAATGGAGAAAAACAGCTTCACTTGAGGGGCACAGAAAGGGCAATGTTTGCAGGAGACAGAGACCTCTGCAGGAAGAGGTGAAGAGAGCTTATGAAGAGGTGAGAATCTCAGAAAGCTGCTAATGGCAATGAGTTTCAGAAAGCAGGAGGAAGGGTTTGTGAGGAAGGGGGCTATGGGGTCAGATGATGCGTGTATAGAGGAACATGGGGCTGAGTGTCCCTGCAATGAGTGTTCCCATGGATGTTAGCTTTGAACCATACTTTGTATTTTAGGTCTTCGCCCATTTTCCACAACTTATTATCAGCTCTTTGAGGGCTGGGACAATGTATTCTATTTGATACCACCTGCATTCTGTCTGATAATGGTTACCTTTTCCTATGATCAGCATCTAGCTTAAAGCTAGGAAGTATCCAACAGGTGGAGTCTTTCTAGTTAATGCCTGGATGCTGAGAAATTTCCAATTTGGCAACTCTGGGCTCATCTGTACAGGGTTGGAGATCTGCTCAAAGGTACCTGCCATCTTGGGATACAAGGCCGGGTGACTAAGATGTCCCTATGAACATAGGGAATCGGAAGGCAAGCTCAGGAAAAGGATAAACAGTAGAAATGAATCAAAGTTAGAGAATGAGACAAAAAATGAATTCCAACACAGAATTGCTTTGTAAATATCGGCAGAGCTGGCAAACTAACTGGTCTAATCCCTGTCCCTTGCCCCTTGGCAATTTTACCAGAAAAATGGCGGCTGTAGTGAATTTGCCATCTGCACCCACACTGAGCAAGAAGGAAGGACTTGTACTTGCAAGCCAAACTACCTCGGAGACGGATTTACCTGCCGCGGCAGCATTTATCAGGTAACACCAGAAGTGTTTCCGTAAAGTAAACTCTACTTCCCCAAAAATGCCAAGAATCCAGCTAGCTAAGGAATATTCAGGAGCTTAGGGAAATGTAAAGCTCTATAAAAAGATGAAAGGCCATTTTATATAAATCAGCAACGAAAAGAAATGTTGTCTACCTCTGGGAATTCATTTGACCTGTGAAACGGTGTCATGTAGGGATGAGATGGACTGACAGCTCTGGAGTCATAAACACCTGGGTTTGAATCCAGTTCTCCTGGTTAGTAATGTGACTTCGAGCATATTATGTCACCTCTCTGTATATCAATTTTCCCATCTGTAAAAGAAAATCATACTGGTACCAACTCCATCAGGTTGTTAAGATTATTAAGTAAGGTAACATGTGTAACGGGCAGAGTGCTCAGTAGCTCAACCACATTACCATGGCATGGATTGCTATGTGTGCATATGTGCATGTGTGCACACACATGTTAATGTGTATGCACGTGTGTGCCTGTCTGTGTACCTGTAGTGAGCACAGTGGTTGAGGCAATGTGATACTTGCAGGTTTCTGCCTATTACATAGTAAATGTTCGATTATTTCGTTTAAAAAGGGATGAAAAAGTTCTGGCTGATCAAATATTCTTGGTAATGGAGTAACCAAAGCTGCCATAAACCTATAACTACTTTTTTTTAATATTCAAATGTCAGAAAATGCTCTTAAAGTCTAGATACTTCCAGAAATGGCTGTACCTTTCTTTCATAAATCAGATGGCGATTCCAGAAATGTTATAGAATTAGTGTGTCCATATAGTCATTCTGAATATCAATTGTCAGCCTACAGATGAAGCTCCAAAAAGGCCCAGTGTTACAGATTTCCAGCTGAAAGGATGGCAGATACGACCTTAGAGAAATCACCCATGACAGCCCTGTACTGTTCTTGTATACATTTCATAGGCATTAAGTGAAACTACCCTTTGTTTGCAGGAGCTTCCGAAGAACCCGAAAACTTCCCAGTTTTTCTTCCAGTTGCAGGTAAGAAATATACGTGTCTGTCTAGCCATGGAGTTCAGCCTACGCCAGGCGCAGTGACTGAGGCCTGTAATCCCAACACTTTGGGAGGCCACAGTGGGTGGATTGCCTGAGTTCAGAAGTTCAAGACCAGTCAGAGCAACATGGCAAAACCCTGTCTCTTTTAAAAATACCAAAAAAAAAAAAAAAAAATTTAGCTGGCATGGTGGCACAGGCCTGTAGTCCAAGCCACTTGGAAGCCAAGGCACAAGAATTGCTTGAACATGGGAGGCAGAGGCTGCAGTGAGCTGAGATCACACCACTGCACTCCAGCCTGGGAGACAGAGAGTTCAGCTTCAAGCCAAATAAAGCATAAACTGGTAGCCTGTAGAGTTGGTGAGGACAGAAGGAAGCCTGGGACCTTGGATTTCTAGAATTTTCTACATAAGAATGTAGTAAATGAAAAGACTCCAATGACACCGCTGGAGAAAATGGTGTGACTGGGACAGCTGGTTAACACTTGGAGTTAAAATATTACGTTTGATCTTTCTGCACATCATACAGCTGAATCTCATTCAGATGTAAGAATAAAATATAAACTAGAAGAATAAAATCATTAAAATATAAGAAATACAATTTTAATAAAATCATTAAAAACTAGAAGAAAATATGCCCATGGTAACCATATGATCTTAGAAGTTCAAGAAGACAATTCTAACAGTTAAGTACATCAACTTGTGTTTCATGTTTGTATTATTATCCTAGTGATATCAAATACCGACATGTGCAAGAGACATTGGAAAAGAATGCCTGAAAATAATAGGAGCTGCTTCTAGGTGGTCGGATTAGGGGGTCAGTTATTATTTTCTTCTTTATGCTGTATTTTAAAAATCTTTAATACAATAAGCATGTGTTAATTTTATAATAAGAAAAACACATGATTTCAATGATAGAGAATCTGGGTTTCATTTTTATCCAAGACTGAAACACAGGGCTCCTCCTCCAGTTTTTGCTTCACCCAGGTGCCATCAACTCTGGTATTCATTTGAGCCCCTGCATGCATTGATGTTAAGTGAGTGATGTGTGAGCCCCACCGTTCTTCCCACAGGAGCATTCCGTGAAAGATCTGGTCAACCCAGGCCCCTTCACTGTTTTTGCACCTTTGTCTACAGCTTTTGATGAGGAAGCTCGGGTGAGCATGAGACTGTGGGCAGAAGGGGGAGGTCTGCGGTTGGAACATAGTCTTTGGGCCTTGCCCTGGAACCAAAACTGGAAATGTTTCTAAGCAGGAGATCTAAGATCAGGTGGAGCTCACCAGCAATAGAAGGGGCTGCCTCTTGGCACAGGGACCCCTGTCAGGGGAAACATTCAGGTGGATTTGGGGTAACCACTGGCCAGAGACTTTCTGAAGGACATTACTGAAGAAGACATGAGGTTGGAGAAGATGAATAATTCTTAAGTGATTTAGACCTCCCATAGACAAAAAAATAAAAGGGAGGGGGTGTGCAGTGAGAGATGCTGGGTTAAAGAGATTTAAATAGATTATTTTCTTGCAGGATTTATCAGAGCCTTTACTGTTCTAGTATTCATGGGGGCTTGTCATACTGGATTGCCCATTCATAATAATGATAGGTGACATATATTATGAGTGTCAAATAATGTTGTGAGTGCCTGGCTTAGATGGATTCATTTGGTCCTCACAACAACCCTGTGAGCTGAGTGCTGTTGTGATCCCCATTTTACAGCTGTGAATATTGAGGAAAGTAGCTTTCCCAAGATCACATGACTAGCAGCA